CTCTCACTCTCTCTCACTCACTCACTCACTCACTCACTCTCTCTCAATGGGGGCAAAACGTTTTTACATATTCCGGTTCGTTCCACATATCTTGGAACACGCGGTAACAAGAGGCGACAAAAAGTTGTGCCCGTTTCTTCACAGGTGGGTGGCGTAGCAAGCACAAGCGTGTATACAAGTGTGTGCGGAAGAGATATTCCGCATCGTTTCCGGAATAAAAAACGAGCAATTAGACGAATAACCCAGATTAGAGTCGGTGATGGTATTCCTTATGTAGACGTGTTATTATGATTCGCAGTGTCGCGATGCTCGTAGCTTTCGCAGCTATCTTTTTAGGCATCTCGCGAAAATGGGGGCACTGGGTGAGAATAATAGATTCCTTGCCTCGATTGTTTCGAGTGAATCACCTGTGAACTTGATAAAGGGTTCAAATAATTATTTCTTTGATCAGATTCGAAGATGCCAGTGGAAAATTCTCGTTGCAACGAACGAGTGGAGAGCACGTTTCGTCCTCTCAATCAACGATTCTATTTTAATCGTTTTCGCTGCGTGTATCAGATGCTCTACTTCGCATCTAACACTTTGACTTTTCAATTAATATTTATAAGGAGATGCAACATATTTCACAGATATACAGTTGGATATACAGTCAGCCGCAGAAATATAACTTTTCCTTGGTGTTGAAATTAATAATTATTTTATATTTAGATAATTGGTTATAGGATGAATGTAATTTATTTTTTATGGAATGGAATATCAATTCTCGCGAAAGATTCGATGTTATATCTTTTTTATATTCACATCTCGAGGAAAACTTTCAAATCCAGATCGTTCTTTGTTATTTGTTAATTCGTCTAAAACTTTGGCTCGTCGAAATTATTACATTAACTAACTTCTGTATTTTTTAAATTATAAAACATTCCAATTATTTTAAAATATACTTTCGTAATCGAAATTTTATATTCGAAGCATAAAGAAACAATGAGAACTGAATCGATCTATTATTTTTAAAATCTGATCTGATTTTTCAAAATAGGCGAATTTCCTTGAAGACACAGTGTCTTCTCTGCGAAAACTTTTGCGACTGATTGTACATTTGCAACGTGTACGTACACAACGTGATGAACGCGTTATGCATTATGAAATACTGGAGGTTTTGCAGGTAAAATTTAGATGGAAATTTTTGGAGCGTTTCTTTTTTTTCTTTTTTTTTTTTCGTTCGACATTCGACGGTTATCGGTTTTCTTAGGCCTAATCGTAGTTATAATACGACGTTTTATTCGCTTTGAACGCTTCAATCGAATTGCCGATAGCGAAGCCTCTTCAAAGCGGACAGACAGAAGCAATTTATTTAAAATCTTCTGCTTCGTTTGCTTCGCGAAAAAAAAAAAAGAACGCCGTTAATCCTTAAACCGCGATGAAATATTTGCCATTTTTCCCCACGATATTAAAGATAAACCGAAACTCGATTTTTTTTTAATACTCTTTTAAACTACCCACGCAAATCATTCTTTTTATCATCGAGTTTCTGAAGAAAATTTTCGAATTACGAAAGTTAAAAGTTAAAAGTTTCGAGGTATAAAATAGAAAGTTTCAGGGCGCGAAGTATTTCAAGGTTTCGTCTTAGTAAAAAAAAAAAATATATATATATATATATAAAAATTCGAAGATATCCCTTCAAAACTTTGAGAAGATATCCCCGCGATTATCATATCAATTTAAAAATCTCCACTTGGAAGAAAATTGTTCTTGACTAATTGGCGAAGTTGAGCGCGTAACGATGTAAACTCTCCAAAAAAAAAAAAAAAAAAAAAAAA